TTTATCAGCCGTAACCCAGAATAGAGCGGGGAATACAATCCCCGTATTCAAAAACTGTAGGTTCGTATACATCGAAATGAATTTTCAAATAATGTAATCAAGCGTTTTTTTAATATTGTTGACATAATGGGGAAATATTAGGCACGTTTTCCCTTAAAGATTTTTTTGTACCAAAAACCCCTCTTTTTTCCAGTGGTCAAATTCTTATTATTACTTTATAAGTACAAAGTTGTATTTTTTCCCACGAACTAGAACTTTTTAATATTTAGTAGTAGTAGTGAGAGAACATATTTTTATTCACTAAAAGTACATGAAAAGGTATACAGCTAACAGACTCATGACTACTACTATATAGAAAGCTCTTTGTTATGAAACATTTTGGGGAAAATTAGGCTATTTTGCCCCAGGATGCGACCCACCCCAGTCTACTAATACCCAGGTGCCTTTTGATGGGTAAACATAGACAAAGGGAAAAGAAACGCACAATGTTTCTAGGGTGGCTGGGACCAAACCCCAGACCCCCCCGTGCATCAAAGAATTTAAAGTATGTGCTTTTTAATTTCATCATTAAATCTTCAATAAATATTGTGAAACACGGAAAAAAAACTGCCCTTGAAAATGGCACATGAGACAAACCCCCTTTTAATTTCGATCGTATAAACTTTTACAAAACTTGCAACCCCTCAAACCAATGAAAAAGTTTCCCCTGCAATCCGAGTTCTGCCCGTCTCCAGTGAGGGATTTAAAAATTTTTCAAAGCCTTTTTAAAGAAAGTAGTAATTTTTGTGAGACAAGCAACCCCAAATGATACGTGTGTGAAAACTTAAATAATGGTCTCAAAATGCTTCTGGAGAAAATTATTTTTTATTCTTTTTTTTTGTTAAAAAATTCGGCCGTTTCCCACAAGGCAGGGTGGCCCGAAAAAAAAAAAACTTTCATCACCATTCCCCCCATCACTGTCTTGCCAGGGGGGTTGCTTTCACTACGTTAAAAAACTGCAACTTAACACATCTTCTTCAGAGGGGGGAAACCTGTACTTCCTCTCCAGGACAAAGCCCAGTCGTGGGTTTTCCCTGATTCCTTATGAATGTTACTTTGCTCACACCCCAACAGACTCAATTTTTAAAAAACCATTTGTCTCCATTTTTTCCCTATAAAATGCTCACCATACGCTGGAAGTTCAAGCCCCTAACCAACGAAACCTTCTTTACCCCCTCCCCCAACATTTCAAAACCCGCCCCCTACCCTCCTTCCCCCCTACAGATTTATTCCTCTCAAAGTCATTTTTTTTGTTCCATTCTCTCTCATGTCCAAAACCCTCAACAACTCCTCCCTCCAACCCGGGATAATAGTTTTGGTAATCTCCACCCCCTCTAGTTTCCAAACTAAATTTCTGCATTTATCCACCCCACACATACTTCTCTGCACTTATTCATTCCATCATACATTTCCTTCTTTGTTTCCACGGACAAAGTTCTTTGTCTCCACAGATCCTAAATGCACCCCTCTTTTTTCCCCCATCACTTTTTGATTTCCCTATCTTTCATGAACCCTTGAAACTTTCCCCCAAAAAATATTTGAATACATTACCTCCTCCCCTACTTCTCCCCATCCAATATCCCAATTTTCTCATTAATCTTTTTGTTATCCCATCACCGCCCTTTCCCAATTCACTTTTAATTTTCTTCTTTTTCAACCCTACCAAATCATCCACAAACCTATACAAATTTTTTTCAAATCCCCCAAGAAGGTTCTCGCAAAAAGCAAACGTGACAACTCCCACTTTGTTTGATCTTCTCTTTTAACCCCTTGCATTCACTTCTCTTACAACCCCATTTTAAATGATTTAACAACCACGGTGACATCACACCTCCCTTTTATAAGGTACTTTTGCGGGGAAAAAAATCTCCTCCTCCTTTTTCTCTAACCTGAGCCACTATCCCGTAAAAACTTTCAGTTTCTGTAAACCCCCCCTTCCAAACCCGCAACATGTGCCACTTGCCCCCTTTTTAACACCCTGTCATTGCCTTTTTTTAAATCCCCAAAAAGCCAGAAAATAAATAAATAAATAAAGGGGAGAAAATAGATGTGAAAAAATTTTAGCCATGGCGGGAAAATGCAGAATAGTTTTAAATGGAAAAATTTAGATTCAGGAAGATATAGGAAACAGTGGTTTGATAATAAGGGTTTGGATCAGTGGAACAAACTCCCGAGTACAGTGTGTAGTTTTTAAAAAAAGGTTTAAAAAATCATGAGTGGGTGTGGGGGGTGTGAGTTGGACATGACTAACTTGTGTAAAGGTCTATGCCGTGCTTCTTCCTTTAAATGGAAGTGGGCCCGACAGGGGGTCTTTTGGGGTAAGCCTGAGGCGGCTGGCCGCTTTGCTGGGGCTATTCCTCCCGCAGTGTTCCTTCTTTCTTTTGTTTTTATGTTCTTATCTGAACACTGTTCACCTACATGTTTCACTGTAAGCACTTGGTCTACAACACCCCTACCTTCCTAAAGCCTCCTTGTTCATCTGCTATCCTGTTCTCCGTCTTACTCTAAATTCTTTCATTAATAGCTCAACCATAAATTTTAGCAGGTATACTCTCTTTTGTCCCCTTTGCCTTGATAAAAAGGAACCATGCACGCTCTCTGCTAATTCCTTGGTACCTTACCCTCTTGCATATGTTTAAATAATAATACCAGCCATTCCAAAATTATATCATTCCAGCTGCCTTACCCCTTTCATTCTACCTACTGCCTCACGAACTTCCCCACACTCACAACTGGCTCTTCCTCACTCCTGCAAGATGTTATTTCCTCCTTGCCCTATACACGAAATCACAGCTTCCCTATCTTCATCAACATTTAACAATTCACCAAAATATTCTCTCTATCTTCCCGATACCTCTAACTCTCCATTTATTAACTCTCCTCTCCTAATTTTAACTGTCAAATCCATTTGTTCAGAAAAGCTTTTTAATCTTATTAATCTCACTCCAAAATTTTTCTTGTTTTTAACAAATTTGGTTGGTAATTCTCACCAACTCTCTCATTTGCTATCTTCTTACATTGCTTCACCACTCTCTTAACCTCTCTTTTTCTCTCATATACTCTTCCCTCCTTGCATTACCTCTCTTGTAAAAACCTCTCGTATGCTATCTTTTTTCTCCCTTATAACTCTCTTTACATCATTAAACAAATCACTCTTCTTCCCTCCCTCACCAACTTTCCTGTAACCACAAACTTCTGCTAAACATTCTTCTTAAACCAACCCATACATCTTTGACCCCATTGCCTATACTCTCGCTAGCCCATCTATCCTCCAATAGTTGTTTATATCTTACCCTAACTTTCTCTGCGTTTTCTTTATAAGCCTTTACCTCTCTCTTACTCACTGCTTCTATTTTCCTTGTATCCCATCTTCCATTAACTCTCACTGTAGGTACAACTAAAAAGTGATCTGATATATCTTTGGCACGTCTATAACTTGTACATCCTGAAGTCTACTCAACAGTCTTTATCTACCAATGCGTAGTCCAACAAACTATCATTACTACCCATATCATATCTTGTATACTTATTTATCCTCTTTTTCTTAAAATATGTATTAACTGTAACTAAACCCCTTTCTATACAAAGTTCAATCAAAGAGTTCCCATTATCATTTACACATGGCACCCCAAACTTACATACCACACCCTCTCTAAATGTTTCTCCTACTTTAGCATTTAGGTCCCCTACCACAGTTACTCTCTCACTTGGTTCAAAGGTTCCTATACATTCGCTGAACATCTCCCAAAACCTCTCTCTCTCCTCTAAGCTCCTCCCTTCTCCAGGTGCATACACACTTATTACGACCCACTTTTCGCATCCGACCCTTATTTTAATCCACATAGTCCTTGAATTTTCACATTTATATTCCCTCTTCTCCTTCCATAACTGATCCTTTAACATTATTGCTACCCCTTCCTTATCTCTAACTCTCTCAGAAACTCCTGACTTAATCCCATTTATTTCTCCCCACTGAAACTCGCCTATCCCCCTTCAGTTTTGTTTTGCTTAGAGCCAGGACATCTAACTTCTTTTCATTCATAACATCAGCAATCATCTCTTTCTTATCATCTGCACTACATTCACACACATTGAAGCATCCCAGTGTTATAAAGTTTTTCTTCTACTCTTTTTTAGTAAATGTGTACAGAAGATTCTAATAATTTGCCCACTTTTGACGTCAAGTTGACGGAACGATAATTTGTTGGTAGGGATCTATGTCTTTACTACTGAATTGAAAAAATGTATGTAGAAATTATGAAACAAAGTAATTACCTTCGACGTTAATTATTTTTAACCTTTCTGGCCAATGTTATCATTCACTATTTTCATATTTTCATATATACATAATTTCATTGCCTGACTACATCATATCATGCGGTTTGGGGCATGAACAATTAAATTTTTAAAGTGTAATTTAATATACCTATTTAAAAGCAAAATGCAAATGGTGCTGTACATAACATTCGGGCATCGTAAATGCTCTCCTCATTCCGTCAGCTTGAAAAGGAAATTAGAACAATAATATGGATGGCTCTCAAGAGCCACCTATATTATTGGCCATTTTCTTGGCCCCATTCTGTTCGTTATTCGGTTATCTATGTATGAAAGTCTATCTGGGCCTTCCCATTGTGGGCTATTCCTGCATTTTCCTTTAATTTTCCAGAACAAGTAAAGGTAGCATTTACCTTCTTCATGGGTTAGTAGCATAAATTTTTGTTCTTCACCTGCGGTGAGCGGTAAACCCGCCCCTCCTCACTGCTGTCAAGTTAGATGGAGAGGCTGTGCAGTTAACTGGCTAGTCAATATCACCTCCCCATGAAGAGTAACTAATGCACAGTAAACTTACAAGAGTCGACTGATATAACAACATTCTCATTTTAATATACTCATCTATTCAAACATGTTTTGAGTTATTATGATGTTCAGGAACATTAATATACAAAGAGGTTATCAAAACATTTGTCTTTAATAATATTTATTTTGAGATGTTGTTCCTTTATGAACTTTCTCAAGTAAAATATTAAAATATGTTATTAACACAGTGTTAATTAATGCTGCCTGATGAAAGTGATGAAAATACACAGTCTTCAGTTGATTTAAACAAGCAGTTGGAAGTTGTATGACATATAAGAGAGTAGTTAGAAGAACTGTGATATCTACACCACTAGTTAGGTGGCTACACTGGTACTGTAGGTAGAAGCTCTGGTAATTAGACCACTGGGTATGAAGCATCAGTGGCAATACCACAGTTGTTGCTCCTATTACGAGACATCTTAATGTAACCACTCTCACCCCAGCTTGTGCCCCAGGAGTTCTTGACAAGGAAGTACTCATCTCCGCTTTCAGTACCATAACCAACTACCAGTACAGCGTGGTCAAGTTCAGTTGATGAGCATTTTGACTCGTAGTACACACCTGTGGAATAAGTACACACTCAGAGAAGAATAGATCATGACCAAAAAATATTTTTTTGTGATGTCTTATTTCTTAACTGTTGTGGGCAGTATATTATATGGATCCACACACGATTTTGACGATATATCTTAGACTATCTTAAGATGAAGGCAGTTGATAAAATCTAGTTCTCTATGCATTTTATTATAATCCAGGTTGTTCCTTGACAATGTCGAAGTGCTGTTAGCTAAAGAAATTTAAAGCAAGAATATGTTGGTTATCTAAAACTTTCATGTTAGATATAACGACATGGATCTTTGTAACAGAAATTGTAAGAGTAGACAGGTTTGTTTGAAGGATATAGTTAACACATTAAGAAATACAATGAAAAGTAAAAACGTAAGTACTACATAGAAGGGAGGGTAGAGGGGCGTATCAAATCCTTCTACCACTTATATATTACCAGTCCAGGATATTTTAATCCAGAAAATAGAGATAACACAAAACAATCAAGGTATTTACATTAAATGATACATACCTTTCATTATATATGCAACGAGAGATTTACATCTCTACGCATATATAAGGTGAGATCACTATACCTATGAGCATATATATATGCACTGTGAATTATTTCATGAACAATGAGCTATAAACACCTTTCAGCATATATTCTTCTGAGCATATCATATAAGTTAAGAAACATGCTCCTCTCAGCATATATACACTGAGAGATACACACTTTTCAGTACATTTACTATATTAAGATATACTCACATGTAGGAGCATATACGAAGTGCAAGACACAAGTTTAATAAGTGTATACTTAGTGCTGTCAGTGGTACTTCATAAACACTATGAGTTTACAACTTCCCACTGAATGTAATAATACTGACCACTGCCGTAGAGCTGGAAGGAGAGGCGGGAGGCATCGATGGCCACAGAGATGGGTCCTTCACTAGCAGCTGCTGATTCCAGAGAACTCTCACTTCCCTCTGGTATGGTCACATAGCTGCTCAATGTTGCTGCAACATTGTTGGAATTGAATTTGCAGGTTCCATC